AAAAAAAAAAAAAGAGAGAGGCAAACCTAGAAACAGACTCATAACTCAAGAGAACAAACTGCTGGTCACCAGAGGGGAGGTGGGTGGGGGATGGGTGAAATAGGTGATGGGGATGAAGGAGGGCACTTGTTGGGATGAGCACCAGGTGTTGTATGGAAGCGTCGAATCACTAAATTGTACACTTGAAACTAATATTACACTGTATGTTAACTAACTGGAATTTAAATAAAAACTTAAAACAATTCTTATGGCTTTCTCATTTAGTTGAATTTTGCTGCTTCTAGCCGAACATTTTTCATTTCTGAGGCTTTCAGTAAGCTAACTGAAGCCAGCCTGCCATCTTTATATTTGTTTCTCCCATACTGGCCAAGTGCACAGTAAATGGACATCACGATGGTTCACTTTCCTCCTTATACCACCCTGTGTAAGCACAGGTAAAACCCACACTAGCTGAGATGGCATCGAATGCCGGGTGTCTCACCACACTCCTCCTTCACAGACAACCTCATTGCTCTTCTGCTTGTTACTAATTCAGGTACAAACTCTTATCCTGAGGATCTGCTTTCTAGGACCATTTCTGATACTGTCTTTGCATAGGTTACCTACTAAGTAGAACTTAAACTGAATGACATGTGTGCTATTACTTTACTTGGATGTATAATTTCATGGTGTAAGGGTCAAGGATATAATTTGAGCTGCTCACAGCGTTACACAGTCCCAGTGAAACTGCATAAAATCATCTCAAGACTTTCACTTAGAGAACAGAAAGGAGCAGGATTTGTCTGTCCTCTGGTTCTCATTTCCTATTCATCCAAGTTTCATCCTGCATGGCATGAAGACCTCGCAATCTCAGAGTGTGCATGCATGGACATCAAGCGAGTTTTCACAGTGGTGCCAAAAGATATTCTGGAACAAGAAGTTTGTGACACTGAAGCACAGTGTGGCGTGCCGGGTGGTGACTGGGGCAGTAGGTCACAGTCATGCAGAGCTATTTACTGTGGCCACATCTGCAACAAGAGATGACTGAGGAAGAAAGGACCGGAAATGGTGCAAGAGGGGTCTCCTCCAGGTGGTGTGTAAGTCAAAGAGTTCTATATTGCAGAACCAAGAATTGAATTTGGGCTACCCCATGCTGACTATGATCGATGTGCACCACTTTGTAAAATTTGTAAAGCTCATCCCAAGGCAGTCTCTATTTGGGATGGGGTGGAGTGGTCCACTTATATAAATGCATCATTAAAGATCTCTCTGAGGGGTATATTACAAGTACTTGTGAAGAAAAGTGAAGAATGTTGAAGAGTTCATTAAAAAAGTATAGCGTCCACAAACACATGAACGAGGTCTCTGGAAGAAAGATGGGAAGTAACAGAACAAAAGAAGGGCCTTAGCAGGAAGCTTGGATGATGGCAGTAAGGTTTAATGAGTAGGGTATATTCTTCAGCAATATTATGTTAATAGATAGAGGAGTCCAGCCAAACTACTAATTTGAATTTTCATTTTGTGAGTGAGTAATGTCAGACAAGAGTTAAGCCTCTCAATATTCAGAGGACTAAAGGACAGAATCAGATCTTACAACTGGTGGGAGAGGACGTACTTAAATTTAATCAGTGTAAAGTTATGGACAAAAGAGAGATGCCTAGAGAAGGAGCAAATTTTTAGCAGCTGCAACATCCTTGATGAATTTGCTCATAAAATAAAATAATCCATCCTGCTTTAGAGGCAAAACATTATATGATTAACAGTTAGAAGTAATCTGTTCTCTTGAAAATCCTGTAAACCACAATTTATATCTTACCATTAAAATTTCAAAAATTGTTTATTATTGAGAAGTCCTCACCAGACCTAATTTGGTCTTTTAGCATATAACTGTTCTATGTAGGTCAAGCAAAGAAAAGAACATCTCTCCCTCTTTCACAACTATGAGACAAATCTGCCTCAGCCTTATTTATAATGAGGATAGAGTGGGGACATTTATCATTCACTTCAGACCCAGTATCAGTTGGATTTGGAATATTTTTCAATGTAAGATTTTCCTAAATAAATGTAAATTCCTGTGGGGTATCAGAATAATATTTTTATTCTTTTATTCTCATTAAATAGCAATTCATATTGCTGTGAAACCTGTCTAAGGATAGGCTTTCATGGCCCATTGCCATGATGTTGTTCAGTCAGGTGACTTAACCTGTCAACCTTCTAGCTACTAACCCACATATATTTCAGCTAGAATCTAAAATATAGACTGTCACCATTCATACAGCCATGTGACATATTAACACAAAGAACAAAAGTACATTAACATTAGAAGAAGACATATTTCATAGAGAGAATGCATCGGCCGGTGTTGGCCGAGTTCCATGGGAAACAGTGAGGGGAGGTGAGTGCAGGTGAGAAGCATAGGTAACAGGAGATGAAAAAGCAACCAGGGCAACCTGGATTCTCTCCCCTGAGTGTTATTATCACATATTAAAATAATTTTTTTCAAACAAATGCATTCCATTTGACAATTATTATGTGATTTAAATAAATTTAAGTTCTGTTTCTTCTCTCTTTCCTTCAGAGTGTTCACTGTTAGATTTCATCATTATCCATTAATATACAACTCACACTTTCTCACATTGTACATTTGAAGCCTCTCAACTACTCTTTTTCAGTCTAAATTTCTCTCTCAGGAGTGGTAGCACAGCCAGAGAACACAGCCCACCTTTTTGCCCTCTGGGGCGTGGTTGTATATGTCAGTGCCCTGCAACATCCTTACCTGCAGTGGACTGAGAACTTGCTTACATCATCCACATCCATGAGTGGCTTCCCTGACATCCACACCCTTGTGTCACTCCCTCATTTGAGTGACCTTTCACACAGTCCAGGCACATTCGGGGGAAGATGAGCCCCTGTCGAGGACTGTCATCCACCCCATGTTGTGGTTTTCTTTTTTTTTTTTAAAATGTTTTATTTATTTATTCATGAGAGTCAGAGAGAGAGAGAGAGAGGCAGAGGCAGAGGGAGAAGCAGGCTCCCCACCTAACAGGGAGCCCGATGCGGGACTCGATCCAGGACCCTGGGATCATGACCTGAGCCGAAGGCAGACACTTAACCATCTGAGCCACCCAGGCGCCCATGTTGTGGTTTTCAAGGAGCAAAGATTCCATTTCCCATTTGATGCAAATCCAAGAAGATTCCAGCTAAAAGCATTAAAGTTGGAGATGCCTGCAATTAGGACACGGTGGTCTTTTCTGTGTAGAAGGCTGGGACTTGGAGGAAGAAAAGACAGTTGTGAAAAAGAGAAGGTAAAGGACAGCAGTGACAACGTTGGAGCCCCTGTGATCATTGGCACTATGAGACAGAGCCCAGCAAGCTTCCTGTTTTTAATGGTGATGTGATTCCTTGCTCATTGCAATGGTGTTGTTTCATAAGGGATTTTGAGTTAGGGGCGTCTGGGTGGCTCAGTTGGTTAAACCTCTGCCTTCAGCTCAGGTCATGATTCCGGGGTCCTGGGATCAAACTGCATGAGCTCCCTGTCCAGCAGGAAGCCTGCTTCTCCCTCTCCCTTTTCCCCTCTCCCTCTACTCCCATTCTTGCTCTCTCTGCTCTCTCTCTCTCAAATAAATAAATAATCTTTTAAAAAAAGGTATCTTGAGTTAAATACATTTCTTAGGCTTTATATTCCATATATTAGCATAATAAGCATATATTAACATGATACGCTGTATCAGATATTTGAAAAAGGATCTCTAAATTAAATTTAGCTTCCTCCCATTAGTTATAGAGGAATTATATTGATTAAAAGTTTTTATGAATCGCCAGGATGATAAGTTGTTGTTGTAATATTTTGAATCCATTCCAGCTAACATTTATTTTAACTAGTATAATCAAGTCCTAAATAATTGGCTTAAATACATCTAGTGTTCATTCAAAATCTCAAATACCTGGAAAATAGTGTGCTGCAAGGAAAAAGTTAGTAGTAAAACAGTGAATTTATCAAATTGTTACAACTATCACCCTGTTTTCATTAATTGAAAGAATGATCCATATCTTAATTTTAAGTAATATTTTATCTGTTTATGAGAAAAGTATCATACATTCCTTCACTCTCATACATTCCTTAACTCCTCTTGAGATATATTTTATTTCAAACTGTGTGCATCAATTTTTATGTTAATAATTATAACCTGTACTACTTCTTATAACATATTAAATTAATGTTCCAAAGTGTAACAGGTATACTATTAAATAAAACTATATGTGTTAGAGGAGGTCATTGAGAGGACATGACCACTAGTTGACTTGCTAGCTGGACCTGGGCAATCAGAGGCTCCTCACCAACCCTGCTCCCCCTTAGAATTTGGGTTCTGCTTGCCTTCCCTGCTCCCAGAAGCTGCACCAAGGACATAGCCTTGAGATAGTAAAGTAGTGTTGAGCCTATCTGGATGGTATTTGTGACTGAACCCAGCTAAGGCCTCTATACAAACTTTTTA